ATCAGCAGCCCTGGTGGAGGTCTGGAGAGAAATGGAGTTGTGGCTACTGGCCAAACTGGGAGAGAAAGAGAGAACCAAGTCCTGATCAAAAGCTGCCAGAGGCAAAGGATCAATACCTGCTTCTCTCTTCAGGCTTCTCTCTGACCCTGATTCGCAGTGCCCTCAGCAGTCAGTTTTGGGGCATTGCGCCTGCAGTGGAAGCAGACTGCAGGAGTGACTTCTGGTTGGTCGAGTCTCAATTGTTATCAGACTTTACAACCCAGGGTTTTTATATAGTAGGATGTCTAAGGACTCTTCCCTTCAGAGACAGGCGAACAAACCCCAAGTTATACATAATTTCTGGTAATTATAGGATCCCTGAAATACATTCCTGAATCTCAATTAAGGAGAGCTAATTTAAGTTACTAAGGATCATAAAAATGATGCCTCAAATTCTCATTCAACAGATAGGTACTGAGGATATGATAGTGAACAAAAACTTAGATGGAAGGAATAGAAATCTCTCTCACATTCACATAAACACTAAACAATTCTTACAAGATTATCTCTAAAAAGAGGTAAAATAATTCTACAAGAGTTTATAAAATGGGTAATGAAGGTCAAGAATGCTTTCCCTGAAAAAGTATGAAATGGACTAATGAAACAGTTAAAAGCAATAACATAGGATCTGTAGATGCTGTGCTAAATCAGGGGTGAGGAATGTCTGGCCTAAGAGCCATATAAAGCCAATGAAATCATTTGATCTGGCCCTGCCAAGGTATTAGGGGGTGAGTTAATTAAATGTTTAACCAAATACAGCAGGCCAGTTTTTAAGCTGATAATTTTGGATAGCCCTCAAATGATGTTGTTATAAATATCCAAATGGCCCTTGGCAGAAAAATGGTTCCCCACCCCTGAGATAAATGGTGTAATAAGACAAGTGTAGTTGAAGTAAAGAGAAACGGGGGTGTTGGGGTTGGGAATGGTATAATAGAAGATGGAGAAATTGGCTTTATTTAGATAGATCTTGACCAAAAGCAATGGGAAAATCATCAAATAGGTTCTAAGCAAGGGAGTCACATGATTAAGTTTGTTTTAAAGAACATATTAATACTTCAGCTGTATTAAAGGGAGTGACAAGATAAGATTTATGTTTTGAAGAGAGTACTACAGCTGCACTAGAGATGAGATTCGAAGGAAAGAAGAATCCCAGGTACATAGTTGGAAGCTAGTAGAGTAGTGCTAGAGGGAGATATAATGTAGACTAGGATAGGGGTAGTAATGAGAAAGATAACAGTGAATTTGAACTTTTTTCCAGGTACATTTCTTCTTGAAAAGTTAATTCATTTATTTTACCAATTTTCTATGAGACGGTTCCTCTTAATTTTCATGAGGTATTTTACAGTAATGGCTTTAGCCATTTATCTGCCACATTTGCCCTAGTTCTTTTCCTAATTGGTTCTGTTTCCCTCCCCCCTTTGGGATGTTTTTCAAATTTTATGCAGACAAATCTATATTTGCTTTTCCCTTTGCAGTTTTCCTTCCATTCATTTAAAATTATACTATCATGTCTACTTTCCCCCCATCTTCATATTAGAATGTATAAGATTTTAGTGTGAGATATGTAAGTTCCAATTTGATAAGTTCATTTAGTCATCCAGTAAACATTTATAGAGCACATATGTTGTTGATAGACATGCACACAATAAGAAACAGGTAAATAAGTGTTTTCAGAGTAGAAAGCACTCTAGTTGCACAAAAAAAAGATACTTAGCCCAGATTGAGGTGAATTAGGTGAATTAGTGAAGACTTCCTAAAATTTATTTGGAAGAGGCCTGGAAATTAGCTAAATGGAAAAAGAGCCTTAAATGAGGAGTGGCATGTCATTTCTACTCTCAGAATAATTTCAAAATTGAACAAGAACTCACTAGTATTTCCAGTAAACTCCCAAGAACTCCAATTAGATCTTTTATACCCCACTAGAGGCCTGGTGCATGAAATTTGTGCATGGGGGGTGGGGGGGTTGAAGGGGAGAGTATCCCTCAGCCCAGCCTGCACCCTCTCCAATCTGGGACTCCTTGGGGGATGTCCAACTACCTGTGTGATTGGAACTATAGGGTCCCAACTGCTCGCATGCCTGCCAGCCTGATCACCCCCTAACCACTCCCCTGCCAGCCTGACCAACACCTAACTGCTCCCCTGCTGACCCGATTGCCTCCAACTGCCCTCCCCTGATGGCCCAGTAACCCCCAACTGTCCTCCCCTGTAGGCCTGATCCCCAGCAACTGCACTCCCCTGCTATCCTGGTCACCCCAACTGCCCTCCTCTGCAGGCCTGGTCGCCCCTAACTGACCTCCCCTGCCAGCCTGGTTGCCCCTAACTTCCATCCCCTGCCAACCTTGTCACCTCAAACTGCCCTGCCCTGTCAGCCTGGTCACCCCTGTCGTTCCCTGAAGGCTTGGTCTCCCCAAACTGCCTTCCCACCCCTGTAGGCCCGATCATCCCCCAACTGCCTTTCCCCAGGGCCTGATCGCCCACATCTACCCTCTCCTGGGGCCAACTTGTGGCAGCCACCTTTGATCACATGGGGGTGGCCATCTTGTGTGAGGGTCAATTTGCACATTAGCTCTTTACTAGAGGCCCAGTGCACGAAATTCGTGCATGGGATGGGAGGGTGTCCCTCAGCCCAGCCTGCACCCTCTACAATCTGGGACCCCTCGAGGGATGTTCAACTGCCCTTTTAGACCCGATCCTAGAATCGGTCTAAAAGGGCAGACAAATATCCCTCTCACAATCCAGGACTGCTGGGTCCCAACTGCTTGCCTGCCTGCCTTCCTGATTGCCCCTAATCACTTCTGCCTGCCAGCCTGATCACCTCCTAACCACTTCCATGCCAGCCTGATTGTTGTCTTAATTGCTCCCCTGCCAACCTGTTTGCTCCCAACTTCCCTCCTCTAATGGCCTGGTCACCCCTAACCGCCCTCACCTGCAAGGTTGATTGCCTCCAACTGCCCTCCCTTGCAGGCCTGGTCCTTCTCAACTGCCTTCCCCTGCTGGTCATCTTGTGGTGGCCCTCTTGTGTCCACAGGGGGGCAGGATCTTTGACCACATGGGGGCAGCTATCTTGTGTCTTAGAGTGATGGTCAATCTGCATATTACTCTTTTATTATTTAGGATAAAGGCCTGGTGCAGGGGTGGGGGCCAGATGGTTTGCCCTGAAGGGTATCCTGGATCAGGGTGGGGGTTCCCTTGGGGCATGGGGAGGCCTGGGCGAGGGGCCTGTGGTGGTTTGCAGGCCAGCCATGCCCCATGTCGACCTAAGCAGAGGCCCTAGTATCAGGGATTTATTTACCTTCTACAATTGAAACTTTGTAGCCTGGAGCGGAGCCAAGCCCCCTGCTTGCTCCATGGCTGCCGCCATTTCTGTTTGGATTTGTTTTACCTTCTATAATTGAAACTTTGTAGCCTAGAGTGGAGGCCTAGGCTGGCCAGGGCAGGCGGAAAGCTTGGCTTCTTCCGTTATCAGGGAATCCCAAACCTCTCTCCTGCTCTATGTGGCCACAGCAATCTTGGTTGGGATTAATTTGCATACTCACTCTGATTGGCTGTTGGGCGTGACTGTTGGATGTGGCTTGTGAATGTATCGAGGTGATGGTTAATTTGCATATTACTTTATTACGTAGGATTATATAGGATAGTTAACCTAATGCAAAAAAGCCCACTAAATGTTTTCTGTAACAAGATAAACATACATTTATAAATATACACAAAGCATCTTTAATATTTCCCTTTCTAATAAATCCTGTACTCCACTGCCAAGTGAAACCCGGATTTACTGACCTGGCAGTAAGGAAGTAATATATTTCAGTTTCATTTCCTACTTCATCCCACAAGTTCTCATCAATGGGAAGTTTCTATCCCTATACCATCCAAGCTGTTTTCTAATAGCATCCCTTTTCTGCTTATACTGGTCCATTGGTCTGGAATGCCTTCTTCCCCTTTATTGAATCACTGACCTGAAATTCCTGCATAAGATTCTTAAATCCCCAGAACAAATACTGCACTCACTTCACTTTGCCTTCTTTGGAAACTTTTCTGTACTAACTGTTTTTCTGGGCATTATTCGGAGTCATAAGTGAGTTTTCCTACCTGGTATAGGTTGCTTGAAAATTGAAAGTGCCTTACACAACTGTGTAATATAAACAGTGAGCAGTTTAAAGCAAACATACGTATCCACTGAATAAAGAAGATAAAGAACAATCTTTGCTGTAGCTGTGAATCCTAATTTGAACCTTGCTTTTACAGCTTAATTTTAATCTTCAGGTGCTTAATGACTCCCTTGACTAGAAGCAAAAACTGTAAAGAGAATAGTAGCACAAACGGTAGCCTGGTGACATGAGCACGCTATGGTGGAGGTAATGAAGGCAAATGTTTGAAACTGGAATCAGAACGAGCGAAGAAAAATTGGGGGGCCACAAATATAAGCAGCTCTTAAAAGTTTTGCTGTCAATGAAAGCAAAGAAATGGGGCTTTCGCTGAGAGAAGAAATGAGGTTCTGAGCAAACATCCTCATAAAAAGATAGGACCTCATTCAGGGTCAGCAATTTCTTAGGAGAAGCTACACAAGGTAGGTAACGTGTACCGGAAGTTTACTGACTGTCAGGCACTGGGCAAACAATTTACGTATTCCAGCTCATTTAATTCTCACAACCTGGCCCTATATTCCGAGTTTAGTTGTACAGAGGAGGACTCTGAATGCATACATCTGTATAACTCCCCAAAGTTCCACAGACATGAATTCCTGGGTCCAGACCTAAGGGATACGTCTCTTGCTTCAATCACTTAGAAACCTGAAGCGGAGTTACCGCTGCATCCTCCGAGTTCCGGGGCCCACCTGCAGGCTCCTCTCCGCTCTCCCCATCCTCACCCCGGCCAGACCACGCGTCCTTCGCAGAAACGCACGAGTGCCCTTCAAAGGCCCCCGAGGTCATCCCCACGCGCCCCCAGACCTCCGTGCTCACCTCGTTATTGAGGTTCAGGGTCCCAGGCTGGGCCATGGTTGATCTAGGAAGCGGATCCGCAGCGGCACGTGAAGTCTGTCCGCCTTTGGCGTCGGCGTCGCCACGCCCCCTCGACGGTGGCCTGTTTGCCCCAAAACTCCGTAGTCGTGTGCGCTAACCAACATTTGAATAACTTTGAATAACAAGGGACGCCGGTGCTGAGGCAGGACAACTTCCGGGGCAGAGGGCTACGCGCCGGAATTGCGCGTTCCTATGGAAACCAGGCGTGAGCGGTGTGCCCTGAGCATGCGGCGATCTGTTTGTAAATGATTTTTTTCAAGAGGCTGGTTTTATTTTATTCTCTTGTAGACTGGGCCCGCGTTGTAAGGACCTTAGTTGTTGGTTGTTTTTTTTTGTCCCAGTGGAGGTGAGAGAGCCTTTTTGAAAGCATCACTTGAACCACCAGGTGTTGCTCTGAATTTTTATTTATCTAGTACATGTGAAGATCCTTCCACGCCTTATTAGATTCAACTTTTTGTTTCAGCCTCACATTATAACTTAGGCGTGAACATGTTTTTCCTGAACGCTGTAAGAAAATTTAATTATTTTTAAAATTTTTATTTTATTGTTTAAAGTATTACATATACAGTAGTAGTACATATATCTCCTCCCCCCCCCCCCCCAGGTTTTCCCTCAGCCTCTCCCACCCCCTGTCACATGTCCATTGGGCGTGCTTATATGCATGCATACAAGTCCTTTGGTTGATCTCTTCCCCCACTCCCCAACACTCTCCACTCTTCCCGTTGTAAGAAAGTTTAATTAGATAATGAACGTGTGAAGCAAAACCAGGACACATATTGCTGCCGCCTGTGGAAATGGATATTTTAAACTTTAAAATATAAAGTAATACTTTATATTTAAAATTTAAAGTATTAGCCTGAAGGCAAATGAAACATGAGGGAGGGAGTATGAATTAGGTAATATATTGATTAATACTTGACACCTGTAGTTCTGAGTGTAATATGAATCAGGTACTGGGACAAATGATCTCCAAAATAGCAGCAAATCAAATAGGAACAACTATTCTTATCTTACAGATGAGGAAACTGACTTTCCAGGAGGACTCTAGGGCTGGTGGTAATCTCCGGATCTCAGTACAAAATGAAAATGCAGAACTCCTCACTCAAAAAGTAGGAAAAAGTTTCTTTTATGATTTATTGACCTGTTATATATTTCGTATTGGTATTTAATCTGTTGCTCCCTGGATAACAGGAATGAATACTGGTGGGACTAGTGCACAGCCTCACAGGTGCCTAGGAGCCCTGCCCCAGCAATCAGGGAGGGGGGCCTGTGCTGGGCATAGACAGGGCTGTGGGCAGCCACAGAACCCAAATGGGAAGATGTGGACAGCAGGCCACACATGACCTGAGACTGAGCCTTTGATGTATAAGGAGATCATTATATGATGTAGGTTCCACTGCACTCACAAAACTCAACTTCCCAGATAAAAGTATTAGCGATTTCAAGAGTCTGATGAAAGAACATTTAATCCAGGCCCACTTCTGAACTCTGTCCAAGAGCCAGTGCTGTCCGGAGCCCATGCTCTTAACTGCTGATTCTGTACTCAATTTACAGCAACTCAGATGTACCCTTGCATATTATTGGAATTTACACAAGATTAACATACTATTTGGATTAGGATTCTTCTATCGATAGTTTAATATATGATTTGAGCACAAATGAATTAATGGCTGACTTCCGGTTTGTCTAGTGTCTCATAAAGGTAGTTTTGTGTTTGTTTGTTTTTTGCCACGAATAAACTATACACTGACTTGTAATGGACTCCTTATCCCTCAGCTTCCCTCATTAAAGATGAGTTCCTGCCCTAGCCATTTGGCTCAGTGGGTAGAGCATTGGCCTGCAGACTGAAGGGTCTCAGATTCGATTCCAGTCAAGGGTACATGCCCCCGTTGGGCACCATCCCCAGTAGCAGGAGGCAGCTAATCAATGATTCTCATCATTGATGTTTCTCTTCCTCTTCCTTCCTCTCTGAAATAAAATAAAATACATATATATTTTTTAAAAGATGAGTTCCTATGTAGAGGCTTTTTTAACTCAGCAGGTCGAGACACTACATACATAAATACCTAGGGATAAAAAAAGAAAAAGAAAAAAACATAAATACCTAAGAAAGGATGTTTTAGAGCTAAATGTAGAACTTTATGAAAAAGGTGTTTTCTTATTTGGCAGAAAGGTGTTGTTATGATTTCATAATGCTTCACAAAATGTATTTTTTTTAATAAAGTTTGTCTTAAAGGCTATAGTATTTACTCATGACCACACCTCTTATTTTCCAACACCTCATCTTTCTAGCAACTACTGTCCCCTCAGGCTCAGCATTTGTTTTCTATCTTTTCATAGCCCAAGCTCTCTTCTTTGTCTTTGATACCTCACCTGTGCTAGTTTACAAGACCAGGTCAAATTTCATCTATCCTTTAAAAAAAAATCCTTCCCATAGACCCCAACAGAAGTTATTTTTTCTCATCAATAATTTATTCTTATATTATGTTAGAGGCCCAGTGCACAAAATTCATGCATTGTGGGGGGAGGGAATCAGCACAGCCTGCACCCTCTCCAATCTGGGATCCCAGATCAGGCCTAAGCCAGTAGTCAGACATCCTTCTCACAATCCTGGACTGCTGGCTCCTAATTGCTCATCTGCCTGCCTGCCTGGTCACCCCTAACTTCCAGAGTAAAAAAAGAATGATATATACTACAATATGGATGAATTTTTAAATAATTATCTGATAGAATTCAGACCAAAGAACTACCAGTATATACTGTCTTATTCTATTTATGTAAAATTCTAGGAAATGCAAACTAATGTATAATAACAAAAAAAAGTAGGTCAATGGGTTTGCTTAAGGACATGGGGTATGGGAGAGGATAGAATGATGGGAGGGATTAATCACAACAGGTCAAGAGTGGTTAGCTGAAACCGGTTTGGTTCAGTGGATAGAGCGTCAGCCTGTAGACTGAAGGGTCCCAGGTTCGATTCTGGTCAAGGGCATGTACCTTGGCTGCGGGCACATCCCTGGTGAGAGGTGTGCAAGAGACAGCTGGTCGATGTTTCTCTCTCATCGACGTTTCTAGCTCTTTATCCCTCTTCCTTCCTCTCTGTAAAAATCAATAAAATATAAATTTAAAAAAAAAGAGTGATTGATATGTTCATTATCTTGATTTGGGTCATGGTACCACACTGTATGCATATGTTAAAAAGTGCACTTTAATTATGCACAGTTTATTGTGTGTTAATTATACCCCAATAAAGCTGTTAAATAAATACACTTACCATTGAATTATAAATTCTCCTAAAACATTCTACAATGATATTGATACAAATTGATGATGCATATACAAGAATACTTATTACATGAGTGTTTGTAATAACTAAAGTTTGGAAGAAACTTGTCCATCAATACATAACTGGTTAAATTAATGAATTCATTAAGAATAATCATCCCTAGCTGGTTTGGCTTAGTAGATAGAGCATCGGCCTGTGGACTGAAGGGTCCCAGGTTTGATTCTAGCCAAGGTCACTTGCCCGGATTTCGGGCTCAATTCCCAGTAGGGGGCATGCAGGAGGTAGATAATCAATGATTCCTTCTCATCATTGATGTATCTATCTTTCTCTCCCTCTCCCTTCTTCTCTGAAATCAATAAAAAATATATATAATATATAAGATATATATTATATCTTATATATTATATATAATCTATATAAACATATATATAAAAGAATAATATATTTGTTCTTTGGTGAACAAATCAAGTGACATTATACTATAGTATGCTATCTTTTGTGTGTGTTTATAGGAAGGATATATATTACATTTACTTGATTATATAGCATTTTTTTCCATGGAGGGGAAGTCAGTGGCTGAAAAACATAAATAATTTCTTCCTTGTTCTCTTTTGTGTCTTTTAAATTTTGTACCATGTAGTAGTATTCACTTTTAAAACAAAAATTAAAATATATTCTCATGTTTGTTACAGTTGTCAATGGCATATGTTTTCTCATTGCTGACTGTGTTAGCTGATAGTGCCAGTATAGATATAAGGTACATATTTTTTATATATTTGTTATGCAATCACTTATCCAAGTGTTTTGTTGTGTTCGTATTTTTCTGAGGGAGTAGAATTTTCCAAGTATATAACCATATTACCAGAAAGAGAATTACATCTTTTTTTTTTTTTTAGTATTTATGCCAATTATTTTATTTTAGTGTATTATTATACTAGAAATTATAAAACAATAAGTAGTAACAGTGATGGTGAATATCCCAGCTTGTTCCTGATTTTAATGGGAATGGCTTTAACATTTCACCATTTGAAATGATATTTGTTGTTCATTATGGTGAATAGTTAAATAAAATCCATGTAGTTTTATTTTTCTAGCAGTTTTTTTTATGGGTAGAAATGGTTGCTGAATTTTATCATTTGCCTTTTTAATTTTCATTGCTTTGATCATATTGATTTTCCCTTTTAAAGAATTTTCCCCACATATGTTCTAATTTTATTGTAGCTATTAGACAGGTATGTTGTAGATGTTAGCATCAGGCATGCCTGTCTGCAGATTCCAGCAATGAGCCCACTCATCTGTGGACCCTGCCAGCTGACCTGTCCCTGCCCACAAACCCCACTAGCTATCCTGCCTGTGGACCCTGCCAATTGGCCTATGCAGAATCTCTGGCCGAGTTGAGTGGGGAGTGACTCTCCCTGATGATTCCAGTCTGTAAGGTCTACTAGAGATGAGTGCCTCTTCAGATGTGTAGCCAACAATTCAAGGCTACTAAGATCCTGATAAGTCTGGGAAACACGAGACCACCAAAGTAACAAAATGAAGCTCCAATAACCCATCCAGAAGAAATGGAGAACTATGAACTGCCTGATAAAGATTTCAAAATAGTCATCCTAAAGAATTTCAAAAAAGAACAAAGATATAAAACCAAATGGAATTAGGAAGACAATAAATGAACAAAATGAGAACTTCAACATCCTTTCATGATAAAATCTCTAAACAAATTTGGCATGGAAGAAATGTACCTCAACATAATAAAGGCCATATATGACGATTCCACAGCTAACATCATACTCAGTGGTGGCAGGTTGAAAG